GGATCACATTGTGGGGGGAGGCCCAGTGCGCAGGTGCGCTTGTAGGTGAGGGTGACCCGCACGCCCCCCCCCCCCCCCGCAGTGTACAAGACCAGGCTCCTCAGGAAGGAGCCCTCGGAAGACTTTGACGACTACATCATGGTCATCGACCAGATCATCAAATCAGGTCAGCCCTGCACTCTGCCTTCTGCCACACAGTCCCGCCCGCTTCCTCCCAGTTCCCTCCGGCCGCGGTGCTCAGCTCCCACTGCCTGCCCTCCAGGCTCTGACGAGGTGCGGGAAAAGGAAGAACGCAGGTTCATCAGCCACATCAAGTGCAGAGAAGCCTTGAAGCTGAAGGAGGGGAAGCGCTACCTCATGTGGGGCATTTCCTCCGACCTGTGGGGAGAGAAACCCAAGTGAGTGCCAGCCCGGTGCCTGCCCAGGGTCGCCCCGCCCTCCCAGCTCCGCCCTGCCCCTGACCTGTCCTGCCTCCCCCTCCCCCACCAGCATCAGCTACATCATCGGCAAAGACACGTGGGTCGAGCTGTGGCCCGAGGCTGAAGAATGCCAGGACGAGGAGAATAAGAAACAGTGCCAAGAGTTGGCCAACTTCGCGGAGGACATGATCGTCTACGGCTGTCCCAACTGACCCCTCCCCGCTTCCCCACAATAAAGGCGCAGTCATATGCCGCGTGTCTCCCCGTGTGGGAAGGTCTTTGACAGGGAAAGAGGCAGCTGTAATCCCCCGCTCCCTCACCAGCAACTCCCCTCGGCTCCATCCTGAAGCCGCACCCAGTTCCTGCCTGCGTTCCCCTTGTGGGGTGCCCTCCCTCCGCCCCCCTGCAGGGTGTCCTCCCTCCTCCCCAGGGAGCCTGCGCCTGCCCTCCTGGCCTGCACCTGCCGTTCCCCTGCCCCTCAGCCCAGCCTTCCCACCTGCGTGCTTACCTGCCCCTGCCCTTGCCCCTGCCCGTACCCTCACCTGCGTTCCTACCACCGATATTGTCATCTGAACCTTGACCTGCGGTCCCACCTACACCCCGGATAGTATCCACCTACGTTCTGGGCACTCCCGCCTGGCCCACGCCCACATCTCCCACCACAGTCTTGCCGTATCTTTACCGACTCTCTGACCCACACGCTCCTCTAGCTTCCTTTCCACCTGCCTCCCCATCCGCTTTCTCACCTGTTCTCACCCGCAGCTCGAGGGTCAACCCCATTCGCTCCCTCGCAGGCTTTCTGTGTGAGGCCGCGGTGCCCAGGAGGGGGCGGTAGGGGGCAGGCCAGGCGACATTTCCACCGGAGCTCAGGGTGAGTGAGCCAGGGAGCCAGCTGAGAGGGAAGGTCTGAGTCAGCGGTCAAAGGCGGAGAGTGCGGGGGCATTGTGGTCACAGCACCCCAGAGCTGTGTGAAGGGCAGCAGCCACAGGCAAATGGGTTCACTGGCTGCGGAGGGAAAGTGGGGTCCTAGATGCTTCTTCTGGTTAATTCCACTGCTAGGACTCTTGAGGGTGGGACCCATTCTGGGCTCTACATCACCGGAAAAGCCCTGAGCTTTGCAGTCGCCCCTTCTCAGCACCTTTCCCCTAAGACCCCCCAGGTCCTGTAAACCCCACCTCCTGATTCTAGGACTATGGGGGAAATAGATTCACAGCTAGCATCCCCCTCCCCTCTAGACCCTGATTGGCAGGGACCTCTGTCAAGGGGAGACTCCAAAATCCTCATCACTCACTAAGTGTCCCCAGCCAACCTGCCCACCCAGCTTGATGTCTTCCTTCTCATTTCTTTGCTTGCTGATTTCCCCTTTCTTCTGCCCTGGGATTCCTTTTCTTCCTTTCTTTTAGCACATGGGATGTTGTTTTGTTGGAGCACCTGTGGTCCCCGAGGATGGACAGGAGACGGTCTTTGAAACTGACATTCTAAGGACAGCATGGAGTTGATTTCAGACAGTGAGGATGTCTGAAGAGGAAAGGAGAACAGGACAGTGTGAGAATACTTGCCTATTGTGGGGCCACCAGTATAGTCCTTAGATCCAATAACAGTCATTTTCTGGGTCAACCTAGCCATGTGTCAAACATGGGTCAACCTAGTCAAACACCAGTGTAAATGTTGCTAGGTAGGTATTTTTTAGATGTGATTCACACCTATAGTCAATTGACTTTCAGGCCACACTTGAAAATGTGGGTGGGCCTCATCCAATCAGTTGAAGGGCAGCAGAGGTAAAAGATAAGATTTCCAGAGGAAGAAGGAATTCAACATAGTGGCATCGAAATTCTGCCTGAGTTTCTGGCCTTTCGACTCAAAACTGTAGCATCAACTCTTAACTGAATCTTCAGCCTGCTGGCCTCTCCTGTGGATTTTGGACTCGCTACACCCCAAAGTCACATGAGTCAAATTCCTAGGGTTCCTGGCTGGCTCAGTCAGTAGAGCATGCGACTGTTGATCTCAGGGTCATGAGTTCAAGCCCTATGTTGGGTGTGGAGCCTACTTCAAAACAAAACAAAACAAAATAAAACAAGAGCCAATTCTTTAAAATAAATTGTGTATGTGTGTAGAGAGATGATGATGATAGAGGATAGAAAGAAGAAAGAAAGAAAAAAAAATAGATGAGGCAGCTGGGTGGATCCAACTCTTGATTTTGGCTCAGGTCGTGATGTCAGGGTCATGAGATCGAGCCGCATGTGGGGTTCCACGCTCAGAGCAGAGTCAGCTTGGGATTCTCTCTATGACAGCACAGACCATGGGAGGTGGTGAGATGTTGGCCGTCGGTCAGAGAGGGGACACTGGGAGCAGAATGTGGAGCAGGCAGAGGGAAACCCCCCTTGGTGGGCATCTGTGGCTTGCTATAGTGCTCTCTCCAGAGGGTTGCTCCTGGGCAGACAGAGGGAATGGCTGCATTTGGCCCGTAGGATGTAATTGGTTAACCGCCTGGGTGCTCAGTGGGAAGCCATGGCAAGATTTTAAGCAGGGGAGAGATGAAGGCTGGCATATGTGTTTAAAAAGTTGATGGAGGGGCGCCTGGGTGGTTCAGTCATTAAGAGGCTGCCTTTGGCTCAGGTCATGATCCCAGGACTCCCAGGATCGAGTCCCGCGTCCGGGCTCCCTGTTCCACGGGGAGCCTGCTTCTCCCTCTCCCACTCCCCCTGCTTGTGTTCCCTCTCTCTGTGTCAAATAAATAAATAAAAATCTTAAAAAAAAAAAAAAAAAAGCCAGTGGAAGCTGTTCCATTCCAGGCTATAACTGAAAGACCTAGAACTGGTGCCCAGACAAATACGTGGGCACACGTGCTCCTGGCAGTGCTTCGCACCATAGCCGAAGGGTGGGAACAATAGAAACATCCCTCAGGGCGTGAGCGGGCAAGCAAAAGGCGATATGTCCATGAACTCGAACACTCCTCAGCCCTGAAACAGAAGGGAGCTCTGGCACACACCGCGACGTGGATGAAACTTGAAAACAGGACATCCAGTGAGAGAAGCCAGACGCAAAAGACCATACGTTGCCTGTTTCTGCTTTTATGAACTCTCTGGAATGTTCTGAACAGGTGACTCCGTAGAGCAGGAAAGCGGACTAGCGGTTGCCCAAGGCTGGGGGGGGCCCAGGGGTCGGGAGTGGCCGCTTTATGGGAAGGGGTTCACCTTTCCAGGCGCTGAAGACGTCTGGGAAGGAGATAGAGTCGCCTGACATTGTAAATATCCTAAATGCCATTGAGCTGCTGGCTTCAAAATGGTTAGTTTTATGTGATGTGAATTTCACCTCCATAAAATTAAATTAAGTTAAAACTATAATAAAATAAGCTCACGCTAGGTAGAGGGCAGAGAATGAATTACGAGATGGCAAGAGGGAAAGAGAGTGTAGAGCCACAAACCAGAACCGGCCAGAGCCAGAATCGGCAGGTTGGGCCGCTGTAACGAGACCCCTACACTGGGGGAGGCAGTGGCGGGAGGGGGCGGGGGCCTTAAACAACAGACATTTATTTCTCAGCGTTCTGGAGGCTGGGGGTCTGAGAGGCGGGTGCCAGTGTGGTTGGGCTCTGGTCAGGGCTCTCTTCCCGGCTTGCAGACCCAAAAAGAGAGCAGATCCCCCAGTAGGGCACTCATCCCATTCCAGAGGACTCCACATTCATGACCTAGTCCCCTCCCCCAAGACCCCACCGCCAGATACCGTCACTTTCAGGATCGGGACTTCAGCAGAGGACTGGGGGAGGGAAACAAACAGTCCACAGCACTCGGGCAAGGTGGGAACAGTGGGTATACCCACGGGGGGCTTGGGTGGAGGTCTGCCTTGGAGACTGAGTCACCGGGGCTTTGCTGAAAGGTGGGATGTGAGGGATGAGAAAAGACGGGGCTACACAGGCTAATTCAGGGCGCCCCCCAGGACAACTCCCAGACCAATAGTTCCACCACCTGACTGTGAGTTCCCATTAAAGCTTGCATGCACACATGCATGCACACACACGCACGCACACACACACACACACCCCCTACGGAAATCACTCTTGTATTTCCCGCCGCTCCTACTACCCTCTAACACACTGTAGAGTGTCTTCTTATTTACCAGGCTCGTTGTCAATCTCCCCACTGGAGTAGGAGTCCAGAAGACCAGGGGCTTTGGTCTCTCTTATTCACGGCTGTGCCCTCCAACCTAGAACAGTGCCCAGCACACGGGAGATGATCTAGAAACATTTGGTAACAGAGTCAATGAGGCGGCCACAGGGAAAAGCTGGGGCCTCCCCGCTCGGTCCCTACCTGAGTCACATCTTCAGATGCCCCTGGAAAGTGTGAGAGGCCACATGAGTGAGAGTGAGACGGGGCCAGCCTGGGGGTGGGGGGACAGGAAGAAGAGGAGGGCCAGTGGGGAAAGGGGAGGGGCTGAACCCCTGCTCTAAAGGCAGCCCCGGGACCCACGGGTGCTTGTCGTGCAAAGCCCAGGAGGCTTGGGCAATTGTGGTTTCCTCCCTGCCCTCGGGGACGCAGCCGTGCTAGCCCAGCCCCCCGCGTGTCTCAGGACCTCATCTGCTCAGGCATGGAGGACACAGTTGTGCGACCTTCGGTGTTCACGGTGGACGGACAGACCGACATCCCATTCAGGAGGCTGGGGCACAGGCGTCGGAGACGGCCCTGCAGTGCAGCCCAGCTGGGCCTGGGCCTCCTGCTGCTGCTGCTGGCCGCCGGGTTGGCCGTCCAGGGCTGGTTCCTGCTTCAGCTGCACTGGCGCATGGGGGCGATGGTCACACCCCTGCTGGTGAGTGGGGGGCTCGGGGCTCGTGGCTGGGGGCGCGGTGCCTGTGTCACTGGGCATCTCTCTGTGCGTGCATGTGCAGGACAGGAGACAGGCCAAGGGCAGCCCCAGGCAGTCAGTTTGTCTCTCTGAAACTCAGTTTCCTCATCTGTAAAATGGGTGTGGTAATAAGCGTGCTCGGCTCCCAGGGAACAAAAGGGGATACTGTGTGTGTGGTGCCAGGGGCAAGTGTTCAATCCATCAAAACCGGTATTTTTAAAACTCAAGACATAAATGCATTCTGCCCATTCAGGGGTACAGCCTGTTGATCTGAGGCATTTATTTTGTGATATGATCGCTTGTGGCGAGAGCAAACCCAACTTTGGTGTGCTGTGACAATCACTTCTTCTAGTGGTGGCCCCCCCATAAAATCAGTCTCTGAGAGCAGGTTTTATGTCCTTTTTTTTTTTTAGATTTTTTTTTTTTTTTTTTTATCTGACACAGAGAGAGAGATCACATGTAGGCAGAGAGGCAGGCAGAGAGAGGGAGAAGCAGGCTCCCGGCCGAGCAGAGAGCCCGATGCGGGACTCGATTCCACGACCCTGAGATCATGACCTGAGCCAAAGGCAGAGGCTTTAACCCACTGAGGCACCCGGGCGCCCCAGGTTTTATGTTCTTAATAGAGTCCTGTGGTCTGTAACCCACGGCACTGACACTCTGACATTGCTGATTATGACCAGCCATGCCCGGGTCCCCACTGTGGGGACTGTCACCAACCTGTTCGGTCTGGGTCTGTGAGAATCTCTCTGCATCAGTTTTCCCTTGGCTGTGGATCTGTCTGTGTCTCCGTGTCCCACGCCACGGCCACATGACCTCGCTTTCGTGTCCTGTGTCTCCGGGTTACTTCTCCTTGTGCCTGGATCTGATGGCCGCACGTGCACGTCCTTCACGTGACTCCACGTTGCCATCCGGCATCTGTCCGCATGCCGGCCTGTCTGTGGCTCACGCCTTGGCGCACAGACCCGCGTGGACCCATCAACCACACACCCGTGTATCTGAGTCCACGTGTCCACATGTGCCTTGTCAGTGTGTCACGCAAGTGTCCAGGTCTGTGCCCTACACCCCACGTCCGTATCCACTTGTTGGCATCGATGTCCACGTGTCTTGCCATCCAGATTGATGTATCCGTCATAGGACTTACTGAATTAACCCTTACATAGTGCTTCCTACGTGCTGGGCGCTGGCCCACGCTTTCCACCCATGAAGTCACTGAATCCTAGAGAGGTACCATCCCTATGTCTATTTACAGAGGGGAAACTGAGGCTGCCGGGTGTGGCGGGGCTGTGCACGTGGCCCTGGGTGGTGTCTGCACCCGTGGTCTGTGTGTGTCTCACAGTCATGAGTCAGGATGCCAGTGCGTGGGCCCCTCAGGCCCTTACCCTGGGCTCCTCTGCCTTTTCAGGACGGAGATGCGGAATCCTGGAAGCAGGTGATGCAAGGTGAGTCAGGGTCCCGGGCCCCAGGGAGGGCGGGCAGGCTGGTTCCCACGCTGTCCCCACCCCCTCAGCCCATTGCCCAATGTGATTTACACAACTGGTCAGAGCCCAGCAGGTGCCCCTCCTCCAGGCCCGAGAAGCAGAAGTCTGGGCCACTCCGGAAAGGGTGGGGTTGACACCAAGAGGTAGACTCCATGACCCCTGGGGGGGCAGCCGTCACTCCCATTCCACTATAGTCACCGCTCACCTCTCACCCTCTCTCTCCAGAGCGGAGGTCCTACCAGACCAACCCAGCCGCACACCTTACAGGTGAGGGGGACCCGGGGTGCTGGCATGGGGAGGGGGGCAGGGTGTCCTGGGGAGACAAGATAGACGGCCAACATGTCTGAGCACTCATCCGTCCACGCGTGCCATCACTCTTCGTTCCCAGCATAGTCCAGACCACAGGCACCGCCCGTGAACTTCTCTTATCTAAGGAATAAGCCCCTTCCCCGGGGCTCACGGAGTCGCCCCGTGCTGTAACGCCCTCTGGCCATGTTCATTCACTGCACCCTGAGGAGGCGCAGCTCATAGCTCCCACTCCGTGAGCAAGAGACTGAAGGACATGGAGATGAGGAGCCTCCTGGACCAGGCTGCGTTCCGTCCATTCCCTCCCTTCATTCTGACACTCCCAAGTGTTCATGCTTTTGGCCAGTCACTTAATTGCACCATGCCTCAGTTTCCCCACCTGTGGGGGAGGGGGAACAAAACAAGTTAGGACAGAAAAGAAGCAAATGACTTGGCCTCTGGGTGCCTCCATTTCCCCCCCTGCAAAGTGAGGGTAAAGATGAGCTAATACCTCTAAAGTTCTCAAACAGCCTAAAATGGGGGGTTGGGGGGTAGGTCATCAGGCTCTCTCACCCAGAGACGGGCACGTGCTGACCGGCCCCCTCTCTCTCCATCCCCAGGAGCCAACTCCAGCCTGACGGGCAGTGGGGGCCCGCTGCTCTGGGAGACGAAGCTGGGCTTGGCCTTCTTGAGGGGCCTCGGCTACCGCGAGGGCTCCCTGGTCATCGCCCGGGCCGGCTACTACTACGTCTACTCCAAGGTGCAGCTGGGAGGCGTGGGCTGCCCTCCCGGGCTGAGCGGCAGCCTGCCCATCACCCACGGCCTCTACAAGCGCACACCCCGCTACCCCGAGGAGCTGGAGCTGCTGGTCAGCCGGCGGTCCCCCTGCGCGCGGGGAGCCAACTCCCGCGTGTGGTGGGACAGCAGCTTCCTGGGGGGCGTGGTGCACCTGGACGCCGGTGAGGAGGTGGTGGTCCGCGTGCCCGAGGAGCGCCTGGTCCGACTCCGCGACGGCACCCGCTCCTACTTCGGGGCTTTCATGGTGTGAAGGAGGGAGTGACTGCAGATCACGGGGGTTGGACAGGCAGCGGGACCTCAGAGGTGCTTTGGGGAGCCCCAAACTCAGCAAGCAAAGAGCTCGGCGGGGACCTCCAGGGGCCGAGGACCCAGCCACCCCTGAAGGCTGAAGACCCAGCAGGCACCAAAGGAAACCCTGTGGACCCTGCCACGGGCCGTCCTGAAGACAAAGACCCGCGGACTCGGGGGTCTGGAGGCCCCCAGTGGGGGGATAGCTAATCTGCCTGATATTCAGGAAGAAGGGGCGAGGGGTGGGTATTTATGATTTTGATTCAGAGAAGAGTGGGACTTGGGGGTCGGGGGACTTGGCTGAAGACAGGAAGCCTCACTCTGATGAGCGTGGGCGGCTGGGGGGGAGAGAGTCATCATCAAGACTCCTCCGTGTGGACAGCCCAGCCCAGGCCCACCCACGGCCACAGTCACACATTCAAGTTCCGCCGGCAGCCGCTTGGCCCCCCTTCTCCTGGCCGTGTGAGGTTATTCTCAGAGACTCTGCACAGCCCGAGTGCCGCGTGCCGGTAATTGTGTGACAACCGGCTCTCCCGGGAGGGAAGAGACTGTAGTATCTGCAATTTCCTTGGTGTCGTTACTTCCATGGCGGCTGGTTTCCTGCTACCAAGGCGTCACCTGTGGGCCAGCTCCTGGTTCTGTCGCATTCCTGCCCCACTAGGACGTCCCGTGGTGTTTCAGCACCCAGGTCAGGGCCTGGCCCCTGGAAGGCACCTGGAAAACGCTTGCACAGAGGAAGCCCGGAGGGTGGAAACGAAGGAAGGAAGAAGGAAGGAAGCGGGGGAGGGCCTTGGAGGGAGCGAGAATGCAGACACACCTAGGGTGTCACAGAGAATCACACAGCCCCACAATCGCTTTAACAACTGCACTCATACACACAAAGCATCGTATTCTCGCACAACTACCCACCCGTCACAGCGTCACAAATACTCAGTCACAGACATTATGTGAGAACCACATATGAACAGTCATACCCAAGTCATCATCACAACCACAGTCACCCACAGGGGCCGTACAGTCACATCAAGTGTGACACATGGGATGCCATGATCATCACACTGGACTTCCTCCTGCTGTGTCATGGTCACGCGCATCACACACACAACATCACACACACATGCATGCAGCCTAAGGTTTCTCCCACCCAAGACGGATACACCCTGGGGTGAGGACCAGACTCTGTCTGAAGCCCTGGGCTCCCTGACCACGGGTCTTGGAAATAAATAGTAAATGTTGCACCCGGGTCTGTCTATTCTCAGGGAAAGGGTGGCTCGCAGAGGCACAGGGGTAGATTCAATCACCCGTGGAAGTCACTTTACAACTTTACAGATCAGAAAACTGAACCCAGTTGGCCCAACTCCATGTAGGAAGCTCAGAGGCAGGCGGGGTGGGGGGGCGGCGGGGGGGGCGGGAGGGAGTCCAGAGATGTCATGCCCAGGTCTGCCTCCCCCTCGAGTCTCCCATTCCTGAGCAAGTGGAGGCTCCCTCCTGCCAGGCACCCCTATGGCAGACATCCGGGACGGAGTGGTGGTCTAGCCAGCCAGCTGGAATCTTGGAGCAAGTGGGAGCATGGGGGGAGTATGGGGGGAGGGACAGATAATGAGACACATACAAATCAGATGGTCTGTATAAATGAGCAGGTATCCTGGTGTGGCCAAAGGGAGGGGCTGGTGCCCAGAACCCAAAGATAAAGGCTCAGCGGCCAGAAGTGGATGGATTATTGTTATTATTGTCGATACTGTTGTCATGTTGCCTGGCACGGGGGGAAGGAAACACGCTTTGCAATCAGGTGGTCCTGCTTTCCAATTTCCCTCTGCCACTTGCTGCTGTGTGACCTCAAGCAAGTCCCATCACTTCTTGGTGCCTCTGTTTCCTCATCTGTAAAATGGGAGGTGATGCCAGCCCTCACCCCTAGGTCTGTTGTAAAGATGACATCAGATCAGGCATGGAAAAAAACATTTGTTACTGTGCTTGGTACACAGTAAGAGCTCCCTAAGTGCGCGAGTGACATAAGTGATTTAGAAATATTAAGAACAGCATTTGTCAGGCACTTTCCCTATGCCAGGCATCTTGTGTGAGTCAGAACCTTATATACACACCTGGGCAGGAACTGTTGTTGCCCGCATGTTCCAGACCTAGAGAGAGAGAGAAGCTGGTCTCCTTCTCCACTCCCAACAAAGGCACACAGTTTTATGCCTCTCTGCCCTTGAGGACTGGTGGGAGGTGGGGCAGCCCCAAATGCCCAGCCCCAGCCCCAGCCCCAGCCCCAGCCCCAGCCCCAGCCCCTAATAGAGTTTCCTTTACTCTTGTCACTATTTTTCTATTTCCGTGGCTTTGATGCGACCAAGATGTGGGGACGGCATATTTACAAAGCTGCTGGCAGCCACCAACTTCCGCCTGGGGATGGAACCTCTCGCTAAGTTTAGCCTCCAAAGATCATTCCTGGGAGGGGCCTCCCAGCCCTGAGGTGGAGGAGCCAGTGGAAGAAGACAGAGGGCGGGTAAGAGGATGGGTAGGAGGGAGACGGAAAAAGAGGGAGGGGAGGGAAAGAAGGAGGGAGGAGGCACAGAGAGCCCTGGAGGTATAGAGGCAGGTGCAGTAGGAGATCTAGAACCCAGCTTGATTTCAGATAGAGCATGGGGCGGGAAGCCCCCAGCCCAGGCCACTGACCTACTTCACAACTTCTGAGAAGTTTATCTGCTTGATTTCCGCTTTCACATCCCATGCTCCGACACTGGTTCAAATATCACCTTCCCCCACAATTAGTTCTTCCTCGAGACCTGAGGTCTGCATCCCTGCCCTCCCCCAGCCCCTGCTCTCCCTTCATCTCCTGCCAAAATCCAGAGGTGGTAGAAGTAAAAATAATGATGATAAGTCATTGATGAATCTCATATTATAATGCTATATCCCTCCCGCTAAATACCACTGTGTTCCAACACTGGGATGCATTGTCTCAGAGAAAACGAGAACGGAACTTTCGGGGAAGCCAGGCCACCAGGGTTCAAATCCCCACTCTGCCAATTCCCAGCTGGCTGATCTCAAGATCCACACTTGGCCTCTCTGGGCCTCAGTTTCCTCATCTACCTTGGTTATCGTGAGGTGAAATGACTTGAATGTTTAAGCAGTTTTCCAGAGCTTGGCCCACAGTCAGTTCTTCAATCCTTAGTAGATGTTCTTTTTGTAAACAAAACTGTAATCCTGTGCACATTTAAAGTTCAGATTCTTCTCGATGATTATATCCACAAGCCACATCTAGTCACTATGTCTGTTTTTGTTGTTGTTGTTTCTTAAGACTTTATTTATTTATGTATTTATTTGTCAGAGAGAAAGAGAGAGAGAGTACAAGCAGGCAGAGGCAGAGAGAGAAGCAGGCTCCCTGCCCAATGTGGGGCTTTAACTCATGACCCTGAGATCAAGAGTTGGTTGCTCTACAGACTGAACCATCCAGGAGCCCCCAAAGTGAGTTTTTAATATGGAAAATTAGTAGCCAATATTTAAACATTACAAAATTTTACTTGTGGACAAACCCAAATTTATGGATTTTCTTGGAAGTTTGGAAGGAGTGAACAGCAACCCAGGCATGGGCTCACCAGCTCAGCCCCAGTCTCCACTACACCCCGTTGTCTCCCACACAAGAGTCTGAATATCAGTTCCCTTTCAGCATCATGTTTCTGTGGTTGTTTCTCTTAAAGTAATGAGGATCACTAATTATAGGTCATACTTCTGATGTACTTACCGTGTGCCAGACACTGTGCTAAGTGCATTAATTCACAATAACTCATTTAATTCTCATGGTGACTGAGGGAGGTAGTTTAGTAACTTATGGGTGGGGAATTCTAGGCACAGAGAGGTGAAGTCACTTTTCTGTCAGAGGTGAGAAAATAAATGAGTTTCAGGAAGAATAAGAGATCATAGTTGTATTCATTTCCTGCTGCCACTTAAAATGATAGTCATTTGGGGCGCCTGAGTGGCTCGGTGTGTTAAAGCCTCTGCTTTCGGCTCAGGTCATGATCTCAGGGTCCTGGGATCCAACCCCGCATCCGACTCTCTGCTCAGCGGGGAACCTGCTTCCTCCTCTCTCTCTGCCTGCCTCTCTGCCTACTCGTGATCTCTGTCTGTCAAATAAATAAATAAAATCTTTTTTAAAAATGATAGCCATTTATTACCTTAAAGATCTAGAAGTCAGGAGTCAGGAAAGAGTCTTACGGAACTAAAATCAACGTGTCAGTAAGACTTCCTTCTTTCTGGAAGAAAGGTTTGCCTCAAACCTTTTAATCAGAGTCGCCTTTATGGGAGGCCAAAAACTATGACACACGTGTAGCATACATAAATCACAATCTGCAAAGACTGCAAATAATTTAACTTCTTTTTTATTCTTTTTTTTTAAGATTTTATTCATTTATCTGACAGAGAGAGAGAGAGAGATCACAAGCAGGCAGAGAGGCAGGCAGAGAGAGGGAGAAGCAGACTCACCGCTGAGCAGAGAGCCTGATGCGGGGCTCGATCCCAGGACCCTGAGATCATGACCTGAGCTGAAGGCAGAGGCTTAACCCACTGAGCCACCCAGGCGCCCCTTCTTTTTTATTCTTAATGTGATTTACTTTGTGCAAGGAGCCCTTTGCACTAGGATGCTAAGAACTCTCAGTCATTGGAAACCATTCCTGCGCACGTGCTCCTTTCCCAAGACCGCCAAAATTCCAGGCAGCTTGGGCAGTGTCCTGGCATTCAGGTTAAGGGAGGGATCCGTTTGATTCTCAAGCCACGTGTCCACACAGGTGCCTACCGCCAGTCTGCTTCTGAGCCATCAGTCCCCCACTTTTATACTTGTACCCTTCAAGACTGCTGCATTCTCTGCTGCTCCTAAGCCTTGCTCGCAAGGCTGATTTTCAGCCAGCTTGAGGCACCGGAAGTTCTTTGAAGCTGTCTGTGGCATCAACTGCCCAGAGACACCATCAAGTCATTTCCTTTTTGGGGACCTGCAGCCTCTCTGGGCTCCGTAACGAAGAGCA